CATTTATTTGTTTCTTCTCCTTGCCTTGTATTTTAATCTTCTTTCAGGTTGTAGGGCCAGTGAAATGTCACTGAGCCCTAGCCAAATCATCCGGCAGTTGGATCACTGAATGTCGAACAGATCGTCGCTCCCTGCCAAGGTCATGTACAAGCAACGCGCATTAGTTAATCATACGCCATGGACTGGCCCGTGCGGCAGTGGTCTTACTTTCGCTTGTATCTACATTAACTAATATATTTCTGTAATAACGTCCTTTGTGTTGTACAGTCTTCAAAGCATCTACAGTACCTTGTTACGTCAATGGGGGTAGTCCACGTAAGGTGCTGACCACGAGGTGTGACTTCGACGTTAGTTGGTTCGTCACACTATTCACGTCTAACTCGAGTAGGCCTCCAATCATTTCGACATAGATCATCTACGTTGGTGATCTACAAGGTCTTTTTTAACCTCAATTTATGTTCTTTGGTCTTCCTCGTCTGGGCTTTTATTGTTAGTCTTTGATTAAAAACCCACCTTAATTTTACTGCTGCAAACTGCTGGACTACTGAGAGTAAGGTCGTATTTGTCCAAATTCAAAGTCGCAGAGTGGTTTACTGTATGACTGTTAATCTTTCACTGTCTGCCTAGAAAGATTACAGGAATCCTTAAAGGCAGATATCTGAGCCATATTGTTGGGAATATTTTTATTGATTCTCAGGTATTGGATTCTCTCTTACTAACTATTCTTTTTGTTGATTAGCATGTTAGTTAATGTTAAAAATCCCTCGGATGCATGCCACAGGTTGTACAGTTTTATGTATCATATACTTTTGTGATATTTTGTTTGATTCCTGAAAGTAAAGCGGATTATGTTGAGCACAGTGTATGTTTTTTGGTGTAATTTAATGCGATTCACTCCTAAATCTTCGTACGCTATTCAGACGAACCTGTTCTGGGTTTAATCGAGTAAACTTCGGTTCGTTAGCTGTAAGTCTAAACTGACTAATGGAGTGTGATCGTTGCATGGATATTTAGAGTCTAGGGAGTGGCTTGAGACGGTTCGCGCTGATCCTGGTGGAGAATCTCTGAAAACATTTGTCATCATTATTTAAGCTGTGGCGGCATTAGCGTTTGTGCTAAGTGGTAAGTGGTCTGAACATTATTGCACCTCTTTTTGGGATCACATATATAATTCATTCAGTTGTGCTCAAGGTGTCCTCTCTGACATCAGTGCTAATCGACTAGTACACCAACATTAAGAAATCCCTTAAATCACTGGTTAGTATAACGAACCCGGTTATACTGCTTCTACATTTTATATTATTGAGTAGTTGTCTTTCCAAATGTCCCTCCAGTAATATGGAAGACTTGCTTCACTCTATATTTGTTTGATAAATATAACTTTTTCAATCCCACATTACCACAAGCACGTATTCATCCAATTTGTGTTTTCTGTGTATGACATTAAAACAACAAATACATCATTAAATCACAAGTGAACGTCTCTTAATGGTTATGAAGAAACGTTTGTAGTGACTCACATTTATCACGAGAACATGACTGGTTTAATAAAAACAATTATTATTATAACCAACTGTACCAGTGTTTGTTTTAATGTGCTTTTGTTTGACTGTGCTAATGACAGCTATATTGTGCTTCCATTCTTATTCTTACACTTTGATTGTAACTTCGCGCGAATTCTGTTACGTTCTGTAACCAAGCTTGTATTCTGGCACGATCTCGGTATCCTTTCGATACCACGAGATCGCCAGCGAATATATCTCGATCTGGTCCATTAACTGCCTTCTAATATTTGGCTTCTCGGGGATTTTATGGATCTATTTGGTTACGTTCGACCTACGCCTTCTGATCTACTTGGAACCTGTTTCTCTGTAGTGGTGTTCATAGTTATTCTCGACTCGACGCCACGCTACACGTTATCCAAGTTTTTATTTTCCATTAGATTTAATGTGAAAGGTGTCTAAATGTTCTCTACCACAAAAAGCAGATTTACTTAATAATGATCCCTAAATAGTTGGTATGTGGACAAAATGTTCGTCAAACTTGCTCATCTTACAACATAGCTGCTGTTATGGCTGAATCTATATACTGCACAAATACACAGCTCTGTATGAAATAGGTTAATTTGCTCTGTTCTGTATTTTATCTGATTGATATACGTCAACTCAATTTAACGTTTCTGTCTCAATTTGTATATTTTCAGAGAGATAAATCCTGTATAAGATAAACAAGAGAATACGCAAACAAAGGAGGCTTATGTGTATAAGAAGATCACCACGGTGATAAGTATACGATCATGAAATGGATAATAACGAGATAGTAAAATGCTCTCTGGGCTAATGAGATATCTCAGAAGACTGAGTAAATTCATCCAGGCATGCACACACTAAATACGCCTTGTTTAGCATTAGATTATTTCGTCTGATGATATGTCTAGATCTAATGTAATCTTGGTATCTTCAAGCGAATAGTTTCTCACAATCAACCGTGTCTGGTGCTTGAATTACTATTTAAGATTAAAGTAATTAGTTGAATGCCCATATCCAATATTTCATGTCATTTAACATTGTGCCACATCCAACCCCTTTGCATCTTCTCCCTAACCAGATTGTGGTTACACTTCCGTCTGCGTTTTTTAAAGATTATAATAAAAACTAAAGTGTATTGACTCACCTTTATCACGAGAACACGACTGGTTTAATAAAAACAATTATTATTATAACCAACTGTACCAGTGTTTGTTTTAATGTGCTTTTGTTTAACTGTGCTAATTATAGTCATTTTGTGTTTCCATCACCTTCCATCATTGTTCCGCGGTTTTTGGTACTATTCGCACGTACTCCTGTCTTCTGCTTCCACTTGTACCATTCCTTGGCACGATCTAGGTATTCGTTCAATACCACGAGATCGCCAAAGAAATAAACCTGGTAACGTTCGACCTTCGCCTTCTGATCTACTTGGCTCGTGTTTTTTGGTAGCAGTGTTCATAGTCTACCAAGACTCGACTCTACGCTACAAAAGTCTGAGAGTACCATGATAAACGTACTTAACTCCTTGGTTGAATTTCATCAGATGGATAGTTTAAATTTTAATTCTGATAATTCACCTGTTGGAATTGACTCGTTTGGTAATTCTGAATTTCAGATAGATAAAGGAAATAGAAATTATAATGTTGAAAATCTTGAAGATTTGACTTAATCGCCAATGAAAGACCATTTTATATACACATTAACACCAAAGTGGCGGTTGTGGTAAATAACTATCACGTCTACTGTTCGACTAAATATTATGTGTTATTTAAATCAGTAGTAATATCATAACACAATTTTATACGATGCACTTCAGTCTCAAGTTATTTCTTGTTACTTGTCAAAGTTCTAGACTCATATGGGTTAGCAGTGTTGGCAAGGGAAAAAAGGTAGGTAAGTATTTAATTAACTTAGTTGAAATTCGCACTTAAAGTTCTACCAAACTGGACGGTTGCTACATTAGATGATCGACTACATAGTACTTGCTAGTATTAAGTAAATTAGGCGATCATTCAAGCCTAATCCATAACTAACGGGCTGACATCTAACGACTTGATAAACTTTGAGCCTGTCGAAATGAGAGTTGTTAGCCAGTAGTTGAATGAATATGTTTGTCCGTTGTGAATGAGGAGTTTGACACAAACACCAAATACAAGTAACCATTGGAAAAAGAAGCCGCATGCCAGATATGATCTGGATAAAAGACTTAGTGCAGCAACTGCACTTGAAATTTCATTATATATTTAAGGAAATGACACATCCGAATTCTGATGTGGTTTATCACGAGTGATACTATAAAATATAAAATATCAGCCAGAAAGTAAAACAGCCATTTTATTATCCTAGGATGTGCACTTATTTTTCAGAGCCAGGTGTGCAATACCCTGGATTTATCGAGAACTTTCCAGTTACTCATTAACTGGCGCACTTTAACTAGAGATTTAGTTTCAAGTATTTAAAAGTACTTCCATTTATCTTCCATAAACACGTCAGCACTTCCTTACCAGAAAAGATGCCACGAATGTTCACAGTTTGTCGCCTTTACACGCAACACCTTTTGTTTGGTATACAAGAACATGTCCGTCTCACATCCAAAGATGTCAATAGTACTCGGAGTTTGACAACGCCCTTACACATAACAACTTAGTGAATGAAGCATATCAACCGAGTCGAATCAGAAGTCAGAAATGAAAGGGTTCGAAGATGTATTTCAAAAGCTATCGATATGTTGTGAAGCGTTTGGTATAAACTGGTTAGTGGTTGAAAGGGGTGTGTAGAGCGATGTACCCACTAGTGATATAGTGCACATTCGTGACACAGTTTCTTCAGTTAGGTGCCTCCCGTAAGACTCATGAAGTCAATACCAATGTCGAAGACCTACATGATCCTGTTCGGTGGAATTATTTACTTTTACACTAATCATAAAAAACCAAACTAATTGAAGTTAAAAGCCTGAACCAAATCCCTTGCAGAATGTTTACCCAGGAGAATGGGAATTAACCGTTAACTAAACGTAACTATATCTAAAATGCTGTCTGTCACTCGTAGGTTGTTCATTGACAAACAGATGTACTAACTCAATTGTTTTCCTTCTGTGGTTTATTGAATACATCCCGACTCTCCACAGTCTTTCAAAATTATCAAAACAAGACTTAATTGCCGAACTGTAGGTGCGACATTTTATCTGACACCATTCTTATGTAATCTTGTCAGACTAGACTTTACGAGTTGTTGGAAGTTAATTTTTAGTTGTGTATTTCTGTAACGAATGATGTGAGCAAAAAATAGCATCAAGTTCTCTTAAGTGTATTCCGTAATCTTTAGTTTTGTCCAACATAAGTACAACTGAAACTGTTTGTTCACATCAAAGTTGAAGGTACTTTGAGTAATATTGTGTCCACAAATCAAAATGGCGCGCGTCGCTACAGTATGGTAGGGATTTAGCAACATCGTAATAGATTGCACTCTAATATGTCATTCAGTCGTGTAGTACGTCTCGGCTGTTGCGTCACTGGCACAGCGTTATTCGGGGCTGAAGCAGCATGGTCCGCCGATTGGAGTAAAGGTGATCAGGCTCTACCATTTTTCGACCAGTTGAAAAGTTTAGCAGCCAGCATCAATAAAAGATTTCCACCAATACTAAGTGCTCGTGCTATCTGTAGTGAAAATATCAGTATAAAGCCATGGAACTGGGACTGGGACGGAAGGAATCCCCCTAATATTAGGACGGATGCCTCTTTACAGAATGAAATAGTGACACCAAAACCAAAGTGTACACGACACCTTCTATTTATTCGCCATGGCCAATATCATTATGCGAAAGAAGATTCTGACTGTCACCTGACAGGGCTTGGACGCCAGCAACTGGAATGTACTGGAATGCGTTTACGAGAACTCAATTTCCCATATAGGAAATTATACTACTCCACGATGACGCGTGCTGTCGAATCAGCTGAGTTGGTGTTAAATCACCTTCCCGATGTTCAGGCAGAACCATCAGACGCATTACGCGAGGGTGCTCCTTACGTTCTGGAACCACCCCTCGTATATTACCAACCCACACCAAAAGACATAGAAGAAGACGGCTCCCGCATTGAACTTGCATTCCAAAGACATATACACCGTGCAGATGTGAAACAAGAAGCCGACACATATGAAGTGTTTGTGTGCCATGCAAATGTTATTCGCTATTTTGTTTGTAGAGCTCTACAGTTTCCACCTGAAGCTTGGATAAGGTTTTCCCTTGATCACGGCAGTATAACGTGGCTTGTCGTCCGGCCTGATGGGCGCGTTACGCTGAGATGGTTAGGAAACTCAGGACATATGCCCCCCGAACTCATTTCCGTCCAGTAAATTTCTAGGAACTTTGCTTCATTGTACAGTGTATACTACGTGTAATTAAAGTTTCTTGTTTTGTGATTAATTTCTTGTAAAATTAGATACATTTTCCAGATGGCTGACATGCTATTCTTTTCCCATTGATTACTCACCATTTGTGTGTAATAGTAAAGGCCTTTACATAGTGTTACCTATAAAAAAACATTGGAAGCAGTCAATGGCGTAAACTGCTCTGCCAGCGTTTTGGACTTTCTATAGCTCAATACTTAAATAGTAGATTAAATCATTAGTTACGACAGATATTATTGGAACACTTAACGCAATTAAGTGCATGCTCATGTGTGGCTTCAGGCTAGTGAGGTTAGCTAGATTCCTTAACCAAATGAGTAGCTTGGACGCAAAATCCGACTAATCTAACCACTGATCTAATTTTACTGGTACTTGCTTTTGAAGACAAATTCTAGTCAGCACATCATGGATTTGGTTACTTTGTCAAAAATAAGAATGACCATAAAATTGGGCACCGTAGATCTTCCATACATACCAACCAAACCAAAAGCCTACTGGAATCTTAAAAGTAATAGTTGCGTATTGGAGCCTCTTTTGCCTGATGTATGTAAAGCATAAAAATGAGAACAATGTTAAAACTTATTGTCGTAAATTTAGTATACTGGTAAGCGAGTTAACACGGAAAGGTAAGAAAGTAAGTGTGTAGGTCTGCTTATATTTTCATTAAGCTCAAATGCTTAACAACTCATTTGTTGCCTTGGTTTTGGATCAGATCCTTTCCCTCTATTTAACTAAATAAGGAGTTCAGATAAACTTTTTGAAAGAGCGAGTAGTTACTCTGTTAATAGCAACACGACTTGGAAAGAAATACGAATCAGTACTGTGTACTGCAAGAAACGCAAACCTTGATATTGAAAAAAGGTATTGTTCTTTAACAATAACTGAATGGTAGTTTGGAAACAGTACTTCCTATGATTTATTATTAGATAGCTAAATCAGTAAATTACGGTCGTTTGACTTTGTGAATATCTACTTATACAATTAGTCGTTACGATGATATTACTTACCAAACAGATCTTGTACTGCTACTTTGATAACAAAGATTTCCCCGTGTTTAGGCCTTAGGTCTTGATGTTTATTCCCAACCCTTTTAAATGACAAAAACACATGACCGACTTAGTAATAAATAGAAGAGAATTATATACAATGAACTTAAAGTAAATTGAGTTTCTAGGAACGTATTCCAGTACGATTAGAACAATGTGTTTATATGTATTCGTGTGGAAATTATGACCGGTGGAGGTTAACTGTTTTGGGGATTAAACAGTTTCGTACTGATAACTGATGCACTATTTCACAAATTAAATGAAGTTAAAAATGTCGGCCACTCAACTAGAACTTAATAGTCAAGATGCAATATGTTGTCTGAGGTCTGGAGGCCGGGTTTGATCCTTGACGTTGCCATAAATTCTTATCATAAAAAAGTTCCAATCCAGGAAGCATCTCTAAAATACTTAATTTAAATAAATCTTTAGCTTATACCAGTTCGCAGCAAAAAATATTCAGAACTCAAACTGATCTCCGTAAAGTTGAGGTCGAAAGGACTATTGTCCTAAGTTGCAACATCTCTTAAGGGGTATTTTCCTGACGGGAAGCGCTTGAATGCTTTGCTAAAAATGTAGAAGCGAGGTCGAGGGTAGTCAACTACCAACTGGACATTATAAAGCGTCACTGCAGGCACTGCTTTGGGAAAGAAGGGTCTGTCATATATTCCAGTTTGAAACTAGTGAGGTGAAACGCAAACAAACGATTACCTTGTGAAAACGGTATTACGAAATAAGCAGTTTAACGGGAATTCTAAACATGATCATTCCCAAGTTTTCTTTTGTAATTAACTGTCTAGCGATAAACGATGAAGTAATAATGACATTTTCGTAACCCTCAGGAGGCATACTCTGTCTGTTTAAGCCTAACTTCTCATAGCTTAACAATTTGGGCTTATCTGATTGCATATTCGAAAAAAAACGCTATTACCTCTCGACCGATGTTGTCTGTATCAAATACTAATTCTACTCATATGAGTTGTTAGTGTACAAGGTACCAGAAGTTGATTATGTAGCTTACTTAACTCCATCGCACCAGATCCCTGATGATCCGAATCTAGAATTAGGCACTGTCAAATATGGGAAGAATTTTGTTTTGTGTAACATGATGGATGTGTTAACGCATTTCCTTAGGTAGTTGAAGAGTGAAGACCAAAATGTGACATCTAGACGTTTCATATCCGAAAGAAAATTCCGTGGTCACCAGATTCTTTCCGTCAGTTGTCAGAGAGGAAGTTTGATCTATTACAAAGTTATTAACACCTCGTTTTTCTGTCAACCAAACCTAATCGATCTCCTGGATAGTATCATGACCGACAAAACCCATTTGATTCCAGCTAGCTTTATAGCGTTTTGGCTTCATTCATCAAAGGATTAAGCTGTAGCGAATAACTTTTATCACGTAAAAAACTAATACAAAAACATTACGTGGAATAGCACGAAGTCTGTTCCCAGATACTGACTATAGGCATAATTACTGGTAAAACCACGGTGATTTGGACATACTCAACAGCCACTAACCAAAGGGCATTTAGAAAAAACCGAAGATAGATCGCAAACTTGTTGCCACTAACAGTACAACCCAATATTCAGCTTAATGATTCTACACCAAAGAGAAACAGTGAAGTAACTAACAATTAACAAGAACACATTGAAAAAAGTAATAAAACTTCAAAACGACAGAGCATGAAGTATTACATTTAAATCTATTTGTCTCCAGATTTCTGCAAATGAGTGTATTCGCTTCCAATATTTTAGAGGCCTATTCGGAAGACCGGTTTCGGAAAAAACCATATTGTTATTGACAGTTTTCCATTTGTTCTCTGCAAAAATATATGATACCGATAAATAACCATTTTACAGGATGTGACTTTCTAGCTACTTTCACAAAATATAGTTCATACATAGATCTTATATTTGATAATAATCCACTTTAATTGATAGTGTTATGGTTTAATACACATCTATATCACGAGTTGGAATCACTAGTAAGTCATTGTAATTTTGCCATTTTCTGTCTGGATTCGTACTTTTTTCATAATTCCTTGGTTTCTACTGAATGTTTGTAATGCTCAGTATACCTAATTTACATTAGGTATTGTATTTTGAAAATAGATAGAAAAAATAGGCTTAGAAGTGTTGTGAAATATTCTGTAAAGTGAAGTAATCAAGTATATGGCAACCCGATTTTAATGATTGAAACATCCGTGACTCTCTAGTAACGTATTCACTCTAAAACACAAAGCGATGCATGCTCAATTGGTCACATAATATACAACGACAGGATAAAACTTTTCCTGGTTCAGTTTTACTTTACACATCGACCTATCACCCGAATTAATAACAGAAATTGGCGTTCGTTGGAGCTTTCTGCCTACTCAAATTGTATCCACTTATATTAGTACAAAGGGGCACCGAATACATATACACCACATAAGTCACTTGATTTGTGTGTGGGCTGTGATACTGCCAGAGGGTCCAGACCGAAGCAGGTTTATGCAAGTTCATTCACAGACTACCTCGACACGCGATAATTAGTGGCATAGGAGTAAGTCCTAAGAAAGCTATTGCAGCCAAACTAAGATGCATCATCAGTCCATGAAAACAATAACAGGTAAACTGACCCATGTAGGTATCTACATACTACCTGGTTGGGGTCTGAGTGATTATCGTAACCAGTGGAGACTGGGTGAAGTAGCTCAGAATCATTCGCTACGCCGCAAGTCCGGCGACCAACGACTGGTTCATACGCCATTTGTTCCTTCAGGAAACTGGAGCCCATGTGCACCATTGGATTGTAAACAGGGTTTTCCAACTCCCCTAGATGAACTCACCGTGTCCGCAAACCCGGTTGAAGCGCCGGACATTCGCATTTCATCCTCTCAATTTCGTAAACAACCCCACCACGAGAAGGCAGTGAGTAGGACTTCCTTGGCAGTGGCTGTATACGCGTGGCCATATGAGAGCATTTGGAGAGGGAGAGCTGACTCTCCCTACCCTCGGCCGCACCAAGGCATTTAATGATTCTTTTTCTTTACGCCGTATACACATAAATAAATGACTAGCAAACTACAACGACCAAATCAACACTTGAACGATTTTATTGTAATCTTTAAAGTTGTTTTAAACTTGGGTTAATTTTAATTTGGTCATTTTTTCTCTGAAATGGTTTACACTGAGTCACGAAACGTCAGAAAATCTAATTTTTCTACTCATTCGGATATTACAAATATATTATTTTTATTTATAATCTTTACCGCTGTTTAATTCTGTTAACCACAACGGTTTAAATACCCCTACTGAATTATTTTTACCGTAATTGTAAACCCTTGTTAGAAATTACCGAAAATATGTACTTAATCAATATGTACCTCACAATATTTATACTGAAATAATAGAGTTGATTTTCGCGGAATTGAACAAAAAAGACCAGAGGGTTTATACATAAAAATACTTTCTAAGGACTCTTATCAAGGGACTTTAAGTGTCAAATTATACTTCATGTGAATAAAAATGAAATATTACAAAATAATATTCATGAGATTAAAAGATGGTTATTGAACCACACGGTGATTAATCGTAATTTTAGGCAGAAAAAACGTACTCATGTAATGATGTGTTATTTGACGCCCATTCAGTTGCGGTGGATAAAGGTATTTGTTCAATTACTGAACAATAATTATTGGCACCTTCCTGAAAGACCAATCGGAAAACAGGTTAGGGTTAACAACACGAAAAGTTACATTACTCAAGCGTAAAAAACATATTATGGGTAAAATCAGTTAGCAAATAGAACTCACCTGGTTTTTAGTTATTCTGGTGAGTAAATGAAGTTTCTGAAACGTATCATACCAATACTTCACAACAGTCTCATAGTTATTCTACAATAGTACGAATAGAAGC